TCGGTGCTGGGCTTACCTGGTGCCCAGGAACCATAGCCAAGGGAGAAGCCATTGCTCCGGTTTCGTCAACTGCTGTACAGTCAACAGGCTCTGGGATGGGAGGAGGCACCCTGGCCCATGTGGCCAAGGGAGCAGTTGGATCCTTGCTCGTGGCTCCCTGCATGATGGCTACAGAATGGAGTAGCACTGCAGCAACAACAATCTCGGCTGTTTCATCCAGCTCTTCCTCAGAGACACTGGAGGCATGTCGTGCACGTCACTGGCTCTCAACCAGCACCGCAGTGCTGTGCTCACTGGGGCTGGGACATGCTGATGGCTTTGACTCTTGACCTCCAGGTGTCTGGGGAGGCGCTCTGTACCCCTCATCTGCAGCCTCCCTGTCCACGCTGCTGGATGAGCTGCCTTCTTCCTGGGGAAAACCCTGTGGTTCCTGGAAGAGTCAAAGCATTGGTGGGCCCTGGCTTGAGAGGAGCTCAGGCCTTTCTCTGGACCTCCTGGAGGAGCTGTGGAACCCCTCCACTGCCCTCCCAGCAGCAGCTGAGCATGCAGCCCAAAGTCCCCGCGCGTGGGAGCCCAGACAATCATCTCTCTTCTTACCAGGAAAAGTTTCTTTCTTGTAAGGGAGCCCATGAACATTGGCAAAGTGCTCCGAAACCTGGAAGACGGGCTTCTTTGCGTCAAGGAGTTTAACGCCTGCCATGGGCTGCTCCTGTTTAACAGCAAAGAAGGTGCCCAGCCCAGGTACTGTGACACCCTGAAAAGCAAGAAATCAGGAACACGGGTCAGTATTTCTGGGGCTTCTCCAAGCAAGAAGATGGGCCCTCATGCCTTGGCCACTGCTCATGAGAAGGTGCCAGGCAGTGTCACTCTGCAGAGCCCTGGAGATGGCCTTGATGTCACGGATTTTCCCAGTTCCCTCCTTTTTTCCCTCTAAAGTGACGCTGGGCTAGTAAGAGCACAGCCAACACCCTCAGCTCAATAAAAATCCCCCAAAGAGTTCCCTCCAACCAGTTCCCAACAAGTAGGGAAAGCCTTGAGTGCCAGCACCAGCGACATGCTGGCCTGCCCACTCTGGCCACGGACAACACACAAGCACCAGGCAGAATGGACCCGTCCTTCTGCTGGAGCTGGGCTCTTCTTTTGTGCATACTGCCAGAGCAGCAAGGGGCAGATCCCAGGCTGCCAAGCCCAACGAGCCGCCGCCAAGCAGGCACCAGAGGCTGCAGGAAGGTTCCAGAAGCAGCGGCAGCAGCCCGCGCAGGGGCAGCCGCGAGTGCAGGAGCTGCTCATGGGCTGTGGGCTCAGCGGCAGACGCCTGCCCCTGCAGGGGACGAGGCCCACCCAGAGCCTGCCCAGCGGCATGGGCCTTGCCCAGACATCCTGGGGGGAAGCCCTGGCCGCAACAAGTGAGCGGGGGGGATGCAGAAGCCCCTCACAAATGCTGACGAAAAACAGGGCCCACAAAGTGAGAGGCCATGTCACTTACCATGACAGCCCCGGAATGCGGAGAAAGTGGCACTGCTCGCTCCAGACAGCACAAAGTTTCCTTCAGCACAAAAAGAAGAAAGGCCTCTTGGCTCTAGATGCCGCCCGACACCACTGGCAGCCGTGCTGGGGACAGCCCAAGGCCTCAGCCAGCTTGTGGCGCGGGGGGCAGGCAGAACTGCCAAATGGCCGCCAGGGCTGTCAGAGGGCGGGGCTGGAGCCGCCCTGTCAGGGAGCAGCTTTTCTCTCTCTCTCCCTGCACTCAGGGAGCACTTTCCTGTAGATCCCCTTTCCTGTAGGGCCACAGCTGAGCCGAGCATGCCAGCACTGAGAAGGAACCTCTCTCCTTTCAGTCCCATACAATCCTCGAGAGTGCCCCAGGGGGTGTGCAAGGTGATCCATTTGGGTGTGGGAAGGAATGCTAGAACTGCCATTCGTTTATTCATGAAATCTCGAAAGGGAATAAGGAAGAAGGAATGCTTCACGAGTGTTTAATATAGAGCTTGTGCCTGGCACCCTCCCTCAGTGTCTCCATGTGTCAGATGGCCACGTTGCACATGGTCTGTGAGGTGTCCTGAGGGACGAGCGTGTGCTCCACAACACGGAGGTTTTCTCCGTGGCACCCTCACTCGGTCACAAGCTTTCAGCATTATGTGACGTAGCAGATTACATGGGCCGGGTTCAGTAGACTTCAGGATGATGTGCTTAAAGGGGATTTGAGGAAATCAGTTCAAAGGATGCCTATAGATTGGGATCTCTAAGGCCAAAGGCAGCAATTCAGCAAGAGGTATTCCACCCAAGTGGAATTTACAGCAACTTGCATCGAGGCTGCCTGATGAGGGATCAAAGTCCCCGAAAGTTTTAGGAGGAGAGAATGAAAACTGTGAGAGCATGTGAGAGAAAGAGAGCTCTTCACTCTCTTGTATGAGTGATGTGACAAAAAAAAATCAACTTGTCCTTCAGTTTTGTGCTGTGCAGATTTAAAGTCCCTGCTGGCTTTCCTTCCTTCTTTTCTCCCAGGTTTCAAACTCTCTCTCTCTCTCTGCTTTTTGGCCATGTGCAGACCCGAGAGGTCATGGAAAAGCTGTTTCCAAAAAGAGGCTCTTAACTTCAAAGCTCCCTTGGCAGCAGTACCAGCAGGGAAGGAAGACTTGTTGCTAATTCTGGGCTGAGTGAGGAGTGAGGGCAGGTGCTTGATGCCTTTTTTTTTTTATTTCTGGGACCAAAGGGAAGGTTGCAGTGAGCCGTTACCTTGGAAGTTCCACCCTGGAAGGATCAAGAGCTCCCAGCTCTTCCCAGCTCTCCAGGCACAGGCAGGATCTGATGCTGGATCCTAAGAGCACCTGTCTTTCAGCAAGGGAGAATCAGCAGCCTCAGCTAGGAGGCCTTCGTGGCTGTCTTGGCAGGCCACGAGTGGTGCTACTTGAACTGCTTAACAGTCCCACAAAAATTGTGAGGTGGATTATTGAGGGAACAGAGCATCTCTCCTATGAAGAGAGGCTGGGAGAGATGGGACTGTTTAGCCTGGAGAAGAGAAAGCTCAGGGGGGGGATCAGTGGATAACTGCATGCCTGCGGGCAGGGTGCAAAGGCAATGGAGCCAGGCTCATTTCAGTGGAGCCCAATGACAGGACAGGAGGCGATGGGCGCAGAAGCAAACACAGTGGCTTCCATCTGAACCTCAGGATCCATTTCTGTAGTGTGTGGGTGAGCGAGTCCTCTCACGGGTTCTCCAGTGAGGCTGTAGAGTCTCCCTCCTCAAGGGGAGACACTTGAAAGCCATCTCCACAGGACATGCTCCTTGGACACTGGTGCTGGGTAGCAATGTTTGAGCAGGGGGTTGGCCAAGCTGACCTCTTCAGGTACCTTCCAACCTCAACCATTCTGTGTTTCTGTGAAATCAGAACACTACAAAGCCCGTCTGGTCCTTCCAGCAGGAAGCAAAAGACTTTATTGGGCTCGCAGCTGCTCCCAGCTGCGAGGGGTCCTCGCTGTTTTCCCTGATGCTCGTGTCATCTTTGCATTGGAAGCACAGGGATTTTCTCACCAACGCTAGGGAGAGAAAAAGAAAGGGTTCAAGTTTCTGTTCCAGTGAGGGCAGCGGAGTGACACTCCCTGCTCCCTTCAGCCCCAGTCCTGTGCAGCGTGCATATGCAGGAGTCCCAAGGCTCTGTGTGGCCTTGTGGGGGCCCCTCGAGTCCCAGCCAGTGACAGGGAATCTACGCAGCGCCAGGCCGAGGCGCTGTGTGAGACCGGGCTGCGAGACCTTTGGCCAAGCAGCTACGGAAGGCCAGGGCAAGGGTTCTCGTGAGCCTGGGGGCCTCATTGCCCCAGGAAGGGGCTGTTGCTAGTGGAATGAAGGCTGTTGCAGGACGGGTTTCCCAAATCAGAAGATCCTCTGCAGAATTTCCAGGGATGTCGACAGCTCTGCTCTTGGTCTGTCTTTCTGCAGGACCCTCCCTCTCCTCTCCAGCTGTTTCTCACGCGCTCAGTCAGCACTGAAAGGCAGCTGCAGCAACAGAGAAAAACTCTCAGGTGGGCTCTGAAGGTCCTCCACCTCTGTCTGCCAAAAGCAGGGAGCACAGCCTCCTTCCATTGTGGGTGCGTCACTGGTCAGCTGCAGGGGAGCTTTAGGACTTTGGGTCTGCAGGGGGACAGCTGGAGGCAGGGCCTCTCCACGGTCATTCTCTCCGCGAGGCAGCCAGGGGATGGAGAGCCAAAGCCCAGAGCTGAGAGCAACCCGCATGCTGGATCCCTCGGGCAGCCTGCTGCAGCTCAGCTTTTCCTGGCCTTTTTTGGAAGCTGGCCCACACTTACCCTGGCACTCGGTTTGCTCAGAGGAGCTGCCTCAGCCTTCTTCTCCGGCGGGTGAGGGATAGGACAGCTGCTGTTTCATGTCCACTGGCACATCTGCCAGAGAACTTTTCCATTACCACAAGTGCCATGGAGGATGTGCTCTCTGTCTGCAGCCCCTGCATTTCCTTCTGCGTCTTTCTGCTACAGGGGAAGCAGAAACAAGGAACGTTTTTAGATGGGGGTGCTAACGTGGGAGCTGTCCATGGCAGTGGGGCAGTCGTCCCTCGGGTTTCCGCAGGCTCAGGGCAGTTTCCCTGCAGCCTGCTTTCTCTCAGAAAGGCAGCATGAAAGGGTAACACCCTCAGCCTCTGAAACTAAGGGCAAGAACACTTTTCCTGCAGTGGGCTTTGCAGGAGCCCTTGTCCTTTCAGAGGAAAACAAGGCTCAGAAGTGCACGTTTTTCTCTTGGAGAGAGCTTCCTTGCAGAGCTAAGAGGGGAAGAGTGTGCACATGGCCCCCTGAGAGAAGAGAAAGGTTCCTTCTCGAGTGCTTGAAAGCACTGTCATACCATGGGCCCGTGTCTCAAGCAGCATTTTTCCTACAGGGCACAAGGGCATGCAGTTATTAAGAAATGTCAAATCTCCATGATGGCAACCCGTGAAACAACCCGGCAATGGGCACACAGATGCAGTGGCTACCTGTCCTCCTCTCCGTTGACCCTCACAGGCAGGGGCTTGAGTTTGGGGCACAGGCCACAGCACAGAGCTTGCCCTTCCCCTCTTCTGCCATTCTTGAGGAGCTTTCCTCACGGGTTGTCAGCAGCCTGCAAGCACAGAAGAGGAGGATTTCCTGCTCTAGTTTTTGCTCACCAATCAGGTCCCCAGCAGGGAAGGGAAGTTGGTGGGGCATGTGTCGGGACCCCTGTGGAATTCACCAAGTCCCCATGTCTAAGGAAAGCCGCTTGATGACTCAAGAAAGCCGAGGGCTGCTTCTTTTAGGCTCCCCCCAGCCTCACCTGCGAGAAGGCTCTTTTTCCACTGCAGCCTGGCTCAGCTTTGCCTCCCCTTTCATCTTGGAGAGTCTGGATAGAGAGAGACTCTGGGGTGTGAGCAGCTGGCTCTTAATAGGAGGCATCCCTGTAAGGAGGAAACGAGAAGGCTCGTCAGTGCTGCTCCTTGGTGGCCACACAAAGAGGCAGGGAATGAGCCTCCCTGCTGGATCCGGTGCTACTTGTAAAAGGCAGAGCAAGCTGGGAGATGGGTTGGCCTAGAAGGGAGTCTCCTTGGCCACTGGCATTTCACGGGTGGGGATGGGAGTCATCTGCACAGGACATGCTCCTTGGACACTGGTGCTGGGTTGCCCAGTTTGAGCAGGGGTTTGGCCAAGCTGACGTCTTCAGGTAGCTCCCATCCTAAAACCATTCTGTGTTCTGTGAAATTGGCACACTACGAAGCCCGTGCTGGTCCCTCCAGCAGGAAGTAACAGTCTTTATTGGGCTTGCAACTGCTCAGGTGGGGATGGGAGTCCTGGGACTCCCTGCTGCCACTGTACCCCACATTCTACCTTTGGACACATCTAATCCTGTTGAATGCTATGGGAAGCGCGGGGCTGCCCTGCCATTCTGGTTCCTACGAAGGCCCAGCAGAGCTACTGCCACAGGGAACTGGGGTCAGAGGAGGGGCCTCATCCTGTGCAAAGCGCAGCCTTCCAGCCTCGCCTCTGTACCCCTTGCCCTCAGGAGGACATTCAGAAGGGAAGGGCAGAGAGGTCTCCAGGGGCTGTCACTCCCAAGAGCCCGCTCTCACATTACCTCTTCTGGTAGACTCTCCCTCCACACTTGCGTCTCCCTTCTTCTCCAAAGCAGAACCCTTGGGTGCTTGGAGAGACCCTTCCCCTGCAGCTCTTCCCCGAGGTATGTAGAGCCCAATCCTGGAAGAAAGACCAAGGCAGTGTGACTACAGGGCACCACATTCTAGGGCTGTAGGGTGCTGGTCTTGGTGCCAGCATCTGAGAGGGGCTTGCTGTGGGCTGGGCAGGGAATAGACATCCTCCCAGCCCTTGGTACACAAAGAAAACGCCCCCAAAACAAGCAAGAATCGGTGTGGAGTGGAGGAGGAACCAGTGCTTGGAAAAGTCCCCCTCCAGCTCCTCCCTGAGCACTGGGCAAGCCCTGGCACTGCTGACCTTCCGGAGAGGAGCTGAAAAGCTGCCAAAACTCTCAGCCAAGGGCTGCAGAAGCAATGCACCCACCTGGGAAAGATGATGACACCTCGAGAAGCTGGATGTGAGACCATGCTTTTTCTCTCCGATGTGGCCAACTCCGTTGTGCTTAAACTCTGCAGGAGAGACAGTCGTGGGTGAGACCATGGACAGGAAGGGATGCCCGTGCCAATGAAGGCATCGCGGCTGCTCAGGCAGAAAGCTGCCCACGGGCAGAGCTTGCAGGGCTTAGTGTTCACCCCTCCTTACAAGCAGCACAAGCTGCCCAGCAAGTGCCTGCACCGGCAAATCACTGCCTGGCTTTGTGCAGGGGCCAGACTCCTGTGCCTCATCAGGAGACGCGTCTGACCCAGAAGGAGAAGTCCCTCCCAACGGCCTCTCGGGGCATTTCCCAGGAGCCCTGGGCTGTGCTGGTGCAGTGAGAAACTTACAGTGAGGCGGCATTTCAACAGCTGGCCGTTGCTATTCAGGTTGTGAACAAAGTCGGAGGAAAAGTGCATTTGGACTCTGTTCTGGCGGAAGACCAGACGGCCGATGTCCTTGAAGATGAAATCCACAGCCTGCTTCTTTGCAAGGGTGTAGGAGAGAAAGAGCAGGGTCTCCTGAATGCAGCGCTGCACGGTGTCCCGAGGAATGCCGATGTCCAAGGACAACCAGGCATAATTCAGGAAAACAAATGGAGGTATTCCTGAGGGAGAGGAAGCAAGGAGAAAATAACTAAGACAGGCCTGCAGAGGAGGGCAGTCCCAGTTGGGTAGCTTCTGGGCCCTCCAGCACTGCTACAGAGCTGTCTTGCTGACTGCTCGTCTGCAGGAAGAGAATCCCTGAAAGACAGAGCTCCAAGAGCCTGGGGCAGCACAGTCGTGGGGCATCGCTGATGCCATAGAAGCTGATGCCCAGTGTCAGCCTGCACCTGCTGTTGTCCGAACTGCTTAGAGCAGAAGTCAACCACCAACGCAGCCATCAGGGTGCCAACAGGATGGGGAGGGACGTTTCTGGGAGCTGGTGTCTGGAGGGACGTGCAAGGCATTGATGGGCCTTGGCTTGAGAGGAGCTCAGGCCTTTCTCTGGACCTCCTGGAGGAGCTGTGGAACCCCTCCACTGCCCTCCCAGCAGCAGCTGAGCATGCAGCCCAAAGTCCCCGCGCGTGGGAGCCCAGACAATCATCTCTCTTCTTACCAGGAAAAGTTTCTTTCTTGTAAGGGAGCCCATGAACATTGGCAAAGTGCTCCGAAACCTGGAAGACGGGCTTCTTTGCGTCAAGGAGCTTAACGCCTGCCATGGGCCGGTCCTGTTTAACAGCAAAGAAGGTGCCCAGCCCAGGTACTGTGACACCCTGAAAAGCAAGAAATCAGGAACACGGGTCAGGATTTCTGGGGCTTCTCCAAGCAAGAAGATGGGCCCTCATGCCTTGGCCACTGCTCATGAGAAGTTGCCAGGCAGTGTCACTCTGCAGAGCCCTGGAGATGGCCTCAATGTCATGGATTTTCCCAACAAGCAGGGAAAGCCTTGAGTGCCAGCACCAGCGACATGCTGGCCTGCCCACTCTGGCCACGGGCAACACACAAGCACCAGGCAGAATGGACCCCGTCCTTCTGCTGGAGCTGGGCTCTTCTTTTTGTGCATATTGCCAGAGCAGCAAGGGGCCCCTGACACCTCTGCAGTTTGCAGGCCACCGCTGGGGTGTTTCTGATGCTTGAGGAGGCGGGCTGTGGGAAAGAGCAGAGTAAGAGGGCAGGATGAGGCTGCCAAGCTCACCTTGTTCAGCGCAAACTGCCTGCGGATGAAGTGGGATACTGCATCCCAAACTTTCACAATCTCTGAAAAGCAAGGGCAAGAGACGTCATACTGCAAGCCAGCTTTCTCGTCCAGCACAGTCCTCGTGGCCAATGGGGCCAGTGTCTATGTCCCCAGACCCTCCCTCTCTCTCCCCACAAGAAACTGCAGCTCAAGTGGGCTGCGCTGCTGCCTGTTCCTCAGGCACCTCCTGTTGGGCTCACCATCGTCCTGGAGGTGCATGAGTGTTGGACACATGAGGCGGCCGTTGCACAGGATGGGAGCACTCCTGGCCTCCATCTCGCTCCGGGCCTCCTCCACTCGTCAGCAGGAATTGTCCCACGCGGGGACGCTGCTTCCCAGTGCCTTTGGCTCCTTTCTGCAAGGCAGCTCCTCAAGATCACAGCGGCAGCCCCAGCAGAGCAGCACCAGCCACTGCCTCCTGAAGGCCTCGCAGCCAAGTGAGGGCAGGTCGCGGCGCACAGGGCTTTTGAGCAGGACGTGGTGTGATGTCACAGACGGCCCCGCTGTTGCCTCATCGCGTGTCACAACAGGGGCTGCAGCCTGCCCTGTCAGGGAGCTGCCTCCCCAAGGAGACTGCTGCACCCTGGAGATTCGGGCAGAGCAGTCCGCAGGCTGTGAGGGTCACTGCAGGGTGCTGGCCCAGGCCTTGCCCCAGGAGCAGGAAAGGAGGCTGCAACTTCTCTTAGCACTGTCCAGGACTTTTCCTTGGGCTGAACCTTCCCACGTCATCCAGCTATAGGTGCAGGGAGCACCGTCCCCTTCCACTTTCTGTGCGTGACCCTCAGCTCTGGTGATTTTTTAGCCAGCAGGGTGACCACTGGAGTTAGAGCCTCTTCGTTTTCATTCCTTCTCTGAAGCAGCCAGTGGGTGGATGGCCAAAGACTGCACTAGAGTGTTGGGGAATACTGTGACTCCAAATGTGTAATAACGCAAGTGCATTTTAAAAGAGGTCAGTCAGAAGCTTTATTAACACTGATCACACTGCAAACATTTGGGCAGCATTTCTCTCTCCTCTTCTGCTTTTTCTTCCAAGTGGTTGCAGCTACCCACTATAAATAAAACAAATGAAATAAAGGAAAGTGGTGAGGAAAATGTAATGTTACATAGCCAGGTGTGCATTCTCGTGAAAAATGGGCTCCAGACAGTTCTTTCTATGTTAATGAGGCCAAGTGCCCACACCAGGCTCAGACTCTTTAGGTAGCTTGTTAACTGCCACAGACCACAACGTGGAGTGATGGCACTTGGTGGAGCCTGCAGAACTGGCACACCCAGTATGGTCTTAGCAAAAGCTGTACATACCCGCCTGAGAACTTTTGCAGGACATGCTAGGGGAGTTTTAGGTTGGATCTTAGGAAGAACTCCTTTACCGAAAGGGTTGTTAGACATTGGAACAGGCTGCCCAGGGAAGTGGTGGAGTCCCCATCCCTGGAGGGATGAGGTCCCATCCCTGGGACCCTTCCAATTAGGTGGTAAATTCTTCCTTGCCCTCCCATCGCCACATAGCCACCAATACCCTATACCTAATTTGCACCCACTTTCCGAAGATCCATCCACTCCAGACTCCTTATCAGGGTCGTATGCTACTTGGATAGTAATATTACAAGATGACCTTAAATTGGCTAGATTATATCCCCCTACATTTTCCGTTTTTGAACAGTCAGGTTCCCGACCAAACTAAGCCCCAGATTACGCAAGATCTTTTGTTCGCTGCTATCATTGTCCCCCGTACACCGACTTTTAACATTTCCCCATGCTTGTAAAGCAAATTTCGGTCCCTCAGGGAGGGTATAGTCTACCCTTTCCATTCCCCAACATTTAGTGGACCACATCTGATTATTATATAATGCACTAGTCCAACTTCCGGAGGGTATCCCGTATAGTGGGATTTCCATATTGCCCCTCGGAAGTGCAGTGCATATCCAACAGTCTGATAAATTTAAAGACCGGGCCACTCTTTCGGTTACGTTTACATACGAGTTTTCCTTCCATGCTTGAGCTGATACAATAGTTACAAGCAATGTCCAAAGTCTACGCATGTTGCCTTTTCAATTTACACTTACTTGGTCCCGTCGTTTCAAGTGTCCATGGACCTTGTGTTGACTTGTTGATTCTCGTGTGGTGAATCCAAGCAGGTTGTTCTTTAATTTTTACTGCAGTGTATGACGTAAGCAGCACCTGAAAGGGTCCTTCCCATTGGGGTTCCCAAGAGTTTTTTCTGTAAGAGATTTTACATATATACAATCTCCAGGTTGTACATTGTGTATAGGTCTATCCAAACCCCTACTCCGGGTTCCAGCTACATGTTTTCCAATTTTATCTAACTGTTTCCCTAATGCCACCATGTAGGATGTCATAATTTCGTCTCCTGCTTGTGCGGACATCCCCTTCTGCCCCTTCTGCACTCCATAGGGTCGTCCATACAGGTTTTCAAAAGGGCTCAGTCCCTCCTTTGCTCTTGGCCTTGTTCGTATGCGTAAGAGAGCCAAAGGAAGAGAGTGAGGCCAGCCCAGATTAGCCTCCTGTCCCAATTTTACAATCTGTTGTTTGATCAAGTGGTTCATCTTTTCTACCTGGCCACTTGACTGAGGGCGATATGGGGTATGAAGTTGCCAATCTATACCTAGATGGCGGCTGATTTGTTGCACTATTCTTGAAATAAAATGTGGTCCCGTGTCAGAGGATATAGTAGCTGGTACTCCAAAACGTGGTATTATTTCCTGCATTAGTATTCTTACCACTTCCCTAGCCTTGGCTGTTCTGGTAGGAAACGCCTCTGGCCAACCTGAAAACGTGCCAGTTAATACCAACATGTATCGATACCCCCCTTTTCTTGGGAGTTCCGAAAAATCAATCTGCCATTGCTGTCCAGGCCCATTCCCTTTTCCAATTTGGCCTATCTCTAATTTTGGAGTACTTTGGGGATTAGTCTGGAGGCAAAGGTCACACTGCTGAGTCACTTGTCTCACAGTGGTGTATAGATTCCTTGCTACAATTTTTCTGATCAAATGCTTATATAAGGCTTCAGCCCCCCAGTGCCTTTCTATGTTCCTCTCTTACCAAGGGCCATATCATATAAGAGGGAATAATCATTTTCCCTTGGGGGGTAAGAGCCCACCCCTCCTCCTTATAGGAACCTTCTAGATCAGTAATTAATTTCTGATCTTCTTTGGTATATTTGGGCTTACCTTCTAGGGAGATTTGCCCATCAGGGATCAGGGCCCCTTCTGTTTTCACCTCTCTTTTGGCTGCATGTTTTGCCTCTCTGTCCGCCAGCTCATTTCCTTTTTCCAATTCTGAGTTTGCTTTTTGGTGTGCTCTAATGTGCATGACTGCCACTTTCTCAGGGAGTTGAACTGCTTCCAACAACTTCAGGATTTCTTTTGCATGCTTGATATTTTTGCCGTGCGAATTCCATAATCCCCTCTCCTTCCAGATCACTCCGTGTGCATGTACAACCAAAAAGGCATATACAAGGGCTGACATCCCTTCCATCACCTACCTGTGCTCTTGCTCTCCCCATGCAGGTTGCTGCCGAGCAGAGAGGCCAAGCGCAGTCTTCCTGCACCAAAGATACACCAGCAGACAAGCCAGCAACGTGCTAGAAACAAGAGCCGTCCCGGGGACTTTTGGATGGGCCTGTTCAGAGCAGCGAGCAGGAGCAAGGGCTCGGTACGCGCAGGGGGGCTGGCTGGTTCTGGGCCACCCCTCCCCTTGGGTGAAAGGCCTTGGTGGTGGTGTGGGGGGAAGGCAGGGGCTTGCCCATCACCTGCTCAGGCCCTAACCTACACCTCTCTGTCTCCCACAGGCATCCATGACCTCACACAAGGTCAAACTATCCAACAGAAGGTCCAAGTCCACAAAGGTAAAGAGAGTTTAACCTCCTCTTCCTCGTTGCCTTCATCCTGAAAGACCCCTGCCCACGACCACCGGGCTACATTGCCGATACATTGCTGCTACTCCCACTCTTCTGGGATGAAGCTGCAGCACAAAGCCCTGCGCAGAGCCCGCAGAGCTCTCCTGATGTGGGCGGGCTGTGGCTGGCGTGCCGGGGCTTGTGCGAGGTCATGGATGCCTGTGGGAGACAGAGAGGTGTAGGTTAGGGCCTGAGCGGGTGATGGGCAAGCCCCTGCCTTCCCCCCGCACCAGCACCCAAGGGGAGGGGTGGCCCAGGACCAGCCAGCCCCCCTGCGTTTTCCTAGCCCTTGCTCCTGCTCGCTGCTCTGAACAGGCCCATCCAAAAGTCCCTGGGGCGGCTCTTGTTTCTGGCACGTTGCTGGCTTGTCTGCTGGTGTATCTTTGGTGCAGGAAGACTGCGCTTGGCCTCTCTGCTCGGCAGCAACCTGCATGGGGAGAGCAAGAGCACAGGTAGGTGATGGAAGGGATGTCAGCCCTTGTGCCTGGGGCATTTGGGAATGGAGAGCAGCAGGCAGCTCCCCAGCACGCACACCCCACGCACTGCTTCTGCCTCAGGCTGCCCTCGGTGCCTGGAGACCACCACACGCGCTGGGCTTACCTGGTGCCCAGGAACCATAGCCAAGGGAGAAGCCACTGCTCCGGTTTCGTCAACTGCTGTACAGTCAACAGGCTCTGGGATGGGAGGAGGCACCCTGGCCCATGTGGCCAAGGGAGCAGTTGGATCCTTGCTCGTGGCTCCCTGCATGATGGCTACAGAATGGAGTAGCACTGCAGCAACAACAATCTCGGCTGTTTCATCCAGCTCTTCCTCAGAGACACTGGAGGCATGTCGTGCACGTCACTGGCTCTCAACCAGCACCGCAGTGCTGTGCTCACTGGGGCTGGGACATGCTGATGGCTTTGACTCTTGACCTCCAGGTGTCTGGGGAGGCGCTCTGTACCCCTCATCTGCAGCCTCCCTGTCCACGCTGCTGGATGAGCTGCCTTCTTCCTGGGGAAAACCCTGTGGTTCCTGGAAGAGTCAAAGCATTGGTGGGCCCTGGCTTGAGAGGAGCTCAGGCCTTTCTCTGGACCTCCTGGAGGACCTGTGGAACCCCTCCACTGCCCTCCCAGCAGCAGCTGAGCATGCAGCCCAAAGTCCCCGCGCGTGGGAGCCCAGACAATCATCTCTCTTCTTACCAGGAAAAGTTTCTTTCTTGTAAGGGAACCCATGAACATTGGCAAAGTGCTCCGAAACCTGGAAGACGGGCTTCTTTGCGTCAAGGAGCTTAAAGCCTGCCATGGGCCGGTCCTGTTTAACAGCAAAGAATGTGCCCAGCCCAGGTACTGTGACACCCTGAAAAGCAAGAAATCAGGAACACGGGTCAGGATTTCTGGGGCTTCTCCAAGCAAGAAGATGGGCCCTCATGCCTTGGCCACTGCTCATGAGAAGGTGCCAGGCAGTGTCACTCTGCAGAGCCCTGGAGATGGCCTTGATGTCACGGATTTTCCCAGTTCCCTCCTTTTTTCCCTCTAAAGTGACGCTGGGCTAGTAAGAGCACAGCCAACACCCTCAGCTCAATAAAAATCCCCCAAAGAGTTCCCTCCAACCAGTTCCCAACAAGTAGGGAAAGCCTTGAGTGCCAGCACCAGCGACATGCTGGCCTGCCCACTCTGGCCACGGACAACACACAAGCACCAGGCAGAATGGACCCGTCCTTCTGCTGGAGCTGGGCTCTTCTTTTGTGCATACTGCCAGAGCAGCAAGGGGCAGATCCCAGGCTGCCAAGCCCAACGAGCCGCCGCCAAGCAGGCACCAGAGGCTGCAGGAAGGTTCCAGAAGCAGCGGCAGCAGCCCGCGCAGGGGCAGCCGCGAGTGCAGGAGCTGCTCATGGGCTGTGGGCTCAGCGGCAGACGCCTGCCCCTGCAGGGAACGAGGCCCACCCAGAGCCTGCCCAGCGGCATGGGCCTTGCCCAGACATCCTGGGGGGAAGCCCTGGCCGCAACAAGTGAGCGGGGGGCATGCAGAAGCCCCTCACAAATGCTGACGAAAAACAGGGCCCTCAAAGTGAGAGGCCATGTCACTTACCATGACAGCCCCGGAATGCGGAGAAAAGCGGCACCGCTCGCTCCAGATAGCACAAAGTTTCCTTCAGCACAAAGAAGAAGAAAGGCCTCTTGGCTCTAGATGCCGCCCGACACCACTGGCAGCCGTGCTGGGGACAGCCCAAGGCCTCAGCCAGCTTGTGGCGCGGGGGGCAGGCAGAACTGCCAAATGGCCGCCAGGGCTGTCAGAGGGCGGGGCTGGAGCCGCCCTGTCAGGGAGCAGCTTTTCTCTCTCTCTCCCTGCACTCAGGAAGCACTTTCCTGTAGATCCCCTTTCCTGTAGGGCCACAGCTGAGCCGAGCATGCCAGCACTGAGAAGGAAACTCTCTCCTTTCAGTCCCATACAATCCTCGAGAGTGCCCCAGGGGGTGTGCAAGGTGATCCATTTGGGTGTGGGAAGGAAATGCTAGAACTGCCATTTGTTTATTCATGAAATCTCGAAAGGGAATAAGGAAGAAGGAATGCTTCACGAGTGTTTAATATAGAGCTTGTGCCTGGCACCCTCCCTCAGTGTCTCCATGTGTCAGATGGCCACGTTGCACATGGTCTGTGAGGTGTCCTGAGGGACGAGCGTGTGCTCCACAACACGGAGGTTTTCTCCGTGGCACCCTCACTCGTTCACAAGCTTTCAGCATTATGTGACGTAGCAGATTACATGGGCCGGGTTCAGTAGACTTCAGGATGATGTGCTTAAAAGGGATTTGAGGAAATCAGTTCAAAGGATGCCTATAGATTGGGATCTCTAAGGCCAAAGGCAGCAATTCAGCAAGAGGTATTCCACCCAAGTGGAATTGACAGCAACTTGCATCGAGGCTGCCTGATGAGGGACCAAAGTCCCCGAAAGTTTTAGGAGGAGAGAATGAAAACTGTGAGAGCATGTGAGAGAAAGAGAGCTCTTCACTCTCTTGTATGAGTGATGTGACAAAAAAAAATCAACTTGTCCTTCAGTTTTGTGCTGTGCAGATTTAAAGTCCCTGCTGGCTTTCCTTCCTTCTTTTCTCCCAAGTTTCAAACTCTCTCTCTCTGCTTTTTGGCCATGTGCAGACCCGAGAGGTCATGGAAAAGCTGTTTTCCAAAAAGAGGCTCTTAACTTCAAAGCTCCCTTGGCAGCAGTACCAGCAGGGAAGGAAGACTTGTTGCTAATTCTGGGCTGAGTGAGGAGTGAGGGCAGGTGCTTGATGCCTTTTTTTTTTATTTCCTGGGACCAAAGGGAAGGTTGCAGTGAGCCGTTACCTTGGAAGTTCCACCCTGGAAGGATCAAGAGCTCCCAGCTCTTCCCAGCTCTCCAGGCACAGGCAGGATCTGATGCTGGATCCTAAGAGCACCTGGCTTTCAGCAAGGGAGAATCAGCAGCCTCAGCTAGGAGGCCTTCGTGGCTGTCTTGGCAGGCCACGAATGGTGCTACTTGAACTGCTTAACAGTCCCACAAAAATTGTGAGGTGGATTATTGAGGGAACAGAGCATCTCTCCTATGAAGAGAGGCTGGGAGAGATGGGACTGTTTAGCCTGGAGAAGAGAAAGCTCAGGGGGGGATCAGTGGATAACTGCATGCCTGCGGGCAGGGTGCAAAGGCAATGGAGCCAGGCTCATTTCAGTGGAGCCCAATGACAGGACAGGAGGCGATGGGCGCAGAAGCAAACACAGTGGCTTCCATCTGAACCTCAGGATCCATTTCTGTAGTGTGTGGGTGAGCGAGTCCTCTCACGGGTTCTCCAGTGAGGCTGTAGAGTCTCCCTCCTCAAGGGGAGACACTTGAAAGCCATCTCCACAGGACATGCTCCTTGGACACTGGTGCTGGGTAGCAATGTTTGAGCAGGGGGTTGGCCAAGCTGACCTCTTCAGGTACCTTCCAACCTCAACCATTCTGTGTTTCTGTGAAATCAGAACACTACAAAGCCCGTCTGGTCCTTCCAGCAGGAAGCAAAAGACTTTATTGGGCTCGCAGCTGCTCCCAGCTGCGAGGGGTCCTCGCTGGTTTCCCTGATGCTCGTGTCATCTTTGGCATTGGAAGCACAGGGATTTTCTCACCAACGCTAGGGAGAGAAAAAGAAAGGGTTCAAGTTTCTGTTCCAGTGAGGGCAGCGGAGTGACACTCCCTGCTCCCTTCAGCCCCAGTCCTGTGCAGCGTGCATATGCAGGAGTCCCAAGGCTCTGTGTGGCCTTGTGGGGGCCCCTCGAGTCCCAGCCAGTGACAGGGAATCTACGCAGCGCCAGGCCGAGGCGCTGTGTGAGACCGGGCTGGAGACCTTTGGCCAAGCAGCTACGGAAGGCCAGGGCAAGGGTTCTCGTGAGCCTGGGGGCCTCATTGCCCAAGGAAGGGGCTGTTGCTAGTGGAATGAAGGCTGTTGCAGGAGAGGTTTACCAAATCAGAAGATCCTCTGCAGAATTTCCAGGGATGTCGACAGCTCTGCTCTTGGTCTTGTCTTTCTGCAGGACCTCCCCTCTCCTCTCCAGCTGTTTCCTCACGCGCTCAGTCCGCACTGAAAGGCAGCTGCAGCAACAGAGAAAAAAACTCTCAGGTGGGCTCTGAAGGTCCTCACCTCTGTCTGCCCAAAAGCAGGGAGCACAGCCTCCTTCCATTGTGGGTGCGTCACTGTCAGCTGCAGGGGAGCTTTAGGACTTTGGGTCTGCAGGGGGACAGCTGGAGGCAGGGCCTCTCCACGGTCATTCTCTCCGCGAGGCAGCCAGGGGATGGAGAGCCAAAGCCCAGAGCTGAGCAACCCAGCATGCTGGATCCCTCGGGCAGCCTGCTGCAGCTCAGCTTTTCCTGGCCTTTTTTGGAAGCTGGCCCACACTTACCTGGCACTCGGTTTGCTCAGAGGAGCTGCCTCAGCCTTCTTCTCCGGCGGGTGAGGGATTAGGACATGCTGCTGTTTCATGTCCACTGGCACCATCTGCAGAGACTTTTTCCATTCCACAAGTGCCATGGAGGATGTGCTCTCTGTCTGCAGCCCCTGCATTTCCTTCTGCGTCTTCTGCTACAGGGGAAGCAGAAACAAGGAACGTTTTTAGATGGGGGTGCTAACGTGGGAGCTGTCCCATGGCAGTGGGGCAGTCGTCCCCTCAGGGTTTCCGCAGGCTCAGGGCAGTTTCCCTGCAGCCTGCTTTCTCTCAGAAAGGCAGCATGAAAGGGTAACACCCTCAGCCTCTGAAACTAAGGGCAAGAACACTTTCACTGCAGTGGGCTTTGCAGGAGCCCTTGTCCTTCTCAGAGGAAAACAAGGCTCAGAAAGTGCACGTTTTTCTCTTGGAGAGAAGCTTCCTTGCAGAGCTAAGAGGGGAAGAGTGTGCACATGGCCCCCTGAGAGAAGAGAAAGGTTCCTTCTCGAGTGCTTGAAAGCACTTGTCATACCATGGGCCCGTGTCTCAAGCAGCATTTTTCCTACAGGGCACAAGGGCATGCAGTTATTAAAGAAATGTCAAATCTCCATGATGGCAACCCGTGAAACAACCCGGCAATGGGCACACAGATGCAGTGGCTACCTGTCCTCCTCTCCGTTGACCCTCACAGGCAGGGGCTTGAGTTTGGGGCCAGGCCACAGCACAGAGCTTGCCCTTCCCCTCTTCTGCCATTCTTGAGGAGCTTTCCTCACGGGTTGTCAGCAGCCTGCAAGCACAGAAGAGGAGGATTTCCTGCTCTAGTTTTTGCTCACCAATCAGGTCCCCAGCAGGGAAAGGGAAGTTGGTGGGGCATGTGTCGGGACCCCTGTGGAATTCACCAAGTCCCCATGTCTAAGGAAAGCCGCTTGATGACTCAAGAAAAGCCGAGGGGCTGCTTCTTTTAGGCTCCCCCCAGCCTCACCTGCGAGAAGGCTCTTTTTCCACTGCAGCCTGGCTCAGCTTTGCCTCCCCTTTCATCTTGGAGAGTCTGGATAGAGAGAGACTCTGGGGTGTGAGCAGCTGGCTCTTAATAGGAGGCATCCCTGTAAGGAGGAAACGAGAAGGCTCGTCAGTGCTGCTCCTTGGTGGCCACACAAAGAGGCAGGGAATGAGCCTCCCTGCTGGATCCGGTGCTACTTGTAAAAGGCAGAGCAAGCTGGGAGATGGGTTGGCCTAGAAGGGAGTCTCCTTGGCCACTGGCATTTCACGGGTGGGGATGGGAGTCATCTGCACAGGACATGCTCCTTGGACACTGGTGCTGGGTTGCCCAGTTTGAGCAGGGGTTTGGCCAAGCTGACGTCTTCAGGTAGCTCCCATCCTAAAACCATTCTGTGTTCTGTGAAATTGGCACACTACGAAGCCCGTGCTGGTCCCTCCAGCAGGAAGTAACAGTCTTTATTGGGCTTGCAACTGCTCAGGTGGGGATGGGAGTCCTGGGACTCCCTGCTGCCACTGTACCCCACATTCTACCTTTGGACACATCTAATCCTGTTGAATGCTATGGGAAGCGCGGGGCTGCCCTGCCATTCTGGTTCCTACGAAGGCCCAGCAGAGCTACTGCCACAGGGAACTGGGGTCAGAGGAGGGGCCTCATCCTGTGCAAAGCGCAGCCTTCCAGCCTCGCCTCTGTACCCCTTGCCCTCAGGAGGACATTCAGAAGGGAAGGGCAGAGAGGTCTCCCAGGGGCTGTCACTCCCAAGAGCCCGCTCTCACATTACCTCTTCTGGTAGACTCTCCCTCCACACTTGCGTCTCCCTTCTTCTCCAAAGCAGAACCCTTGGGTGCTTGGAGAGACCCTTCCCCTGCAGCTCTTCCCCGAGGTATGTAGAGCCCAATCCTGGAAGAAAGACCAAGGCAGTGTGACTACAGGGCACCACATTCTAGGGCTGTAGGGTGCTGGTCTTGGTGCCAGCATCTGAGAGGGGCTTGCTGTGGGCTGGGCAGGGAATAGACATCCTCCCAGCCCTTGGTACACAAAGAAAACGCCCCCAAAACAAGCAAGAATCGGTGTGGAGTGGAGGAGGAACCAGTGCTTGGAAAAGTCCCCCTCCAGCTCCTCCCTGAGCACTGGGCAAGCCCTGGCACTGCTGACCTTCCGGAGAGGAGCTGAAAAGCTGCCAAAACTCTCAGCCAAGGGCTGCAGAAGCAATGCACCCACCTGGGAAAGATGATGACACCTCGAGAAGCTGGATGTGAGACCATGCTTTTTCTCTCCGATGTGGCCAACTCCGTTGTGCTTAAACTCTGCAGGAGAGACAGTCGTGGGTGAGACCATGGACAGGAAGGGATGCCCGTGCCAATGAAGGCATCGCGGCTGCTCAGGCAGAAAGCTGCCCACGGGCAGAGCTTGCAGGGCTTAGTGTTCACCCCTCCTTACAAGCAGCACAAGCTGCCCAGCAAGTGCCTGCACCCGGCAAATCACTGCCTGGCTTTGTGCAGGGGCCAGACTCCTGTGCCTCATCAGGAGACGCGTCTGACCCAGAAGGAGAAGTCCCTCCCAACGGCCTCTCGGGGCATTTCCCAGGAGCCCTGGGCTGTGCTGGTGCAGTGAGAAACTTACAGTGAGGCGGCATTTCAACAGCTGGCCGTTGCTATTCAGGTTGTGAACAAAGTCGGAGGAAAAGTGCATTTGGACTCTGTTCTGGCGGAAGACCAGACGGCCGATGTCCTTGAAGATGAAATCCACAGCCTGCTTCTTTGCAAGGGTGTAGGAGAGAAAGAGCAGGGTCTCCTGAATGCAGCGCTGCACGGTGTCCCGAGGAATGCCGATGTCCAAGGACAACCAGGCATAATTCAGGAAACAAATGGAGGTATTCCTGAGGGAGAGGAAGCAAGGAGAAAATAACTAAGACAGGCCTGCAGAGGAGGGCAGTCCCAGTTGGGTAGCTTCTGGGCCCTCCAGCACTGCTACAGAGCTGTCTTGCTGACTGCTCGTCTGCAGGAAGAGAATCCCTGAAAGACAGAGCTCCAAGAGCCTGGGGCAGCACAGTCGTGGGGCATCGCTGATGCCATAGAAGCTGATGCCCAGTGTCAGCCTGCACCTGCTGTTGTCCGAACTGCTTAGAGCAGAAGTCAACCACCAACGCAGCCATCAGGGTGCCAACAGGATGGGGAGGGACGTTTCTGGGAGCTGGTGTCTGGAGGGACGTGCAAGGCATTGATGGGCCTTGGCTTGAGAGGAGCTCAGGCCTTTCTCTGGACCTCCTGGAGGAGCTGTGGAACCCCTCCACTGCCCTCCCAGCAGCAGCTGAGCATGCAGCCCAAAGTCCCCGCGCGTGGGAGCCCAGACAATCATCTCTCTTCTTACCAGGAAAAGTTTCTTTCTTGTAAGGGAGCCCATGAACATTGGCAAAGTGCTCCGAAACCTGGAAGACGGGCTTCTTTGCGTCAAGGAGCTTAACGCCTGCCATGGGCCGGTCCTGTTTAACAGCAAAGAAGGTGCCCAGCCCAGGTACTGTGACACCCTGAAAAGCAAGAAATCAGAGGAACACGGGTCAGGATTTCTGGGGCTTCTCCAAGCAAGAAGATGGGCCCTCATGCCTTGGCCACTGCTCATGAGAAGTTGCCAGGCAGTGTCACTCTGCAGAGCCCTGGAGATGGCCTCAATGTCATGGATTTTCCCAACAAGCAGGGAAAGCCTTGAGTGCCAGCACCAGCGACATGCTGGCCATGCCCACTCTGGCCAACGGGCAACACACAAGCACCAGGCAGAATGGACCCCGTCCTTCTGCTGGAGCTGGGTCTCTTTTGTGCATATTGCCAGAGCAGCAAGGGGCCCCTGACACCTCTGCAGTTTGCAGGCCACCGCTGGGGTGTTTCTGATGCTTGAGGAGGCGGGCTGTGGGAAAGAGCAGAGTAAGAGGGCAGGATGAGGCTGCCAAGCTCACCTTGTTCAGCGCAAACTGCCTGCGGATGAAGTGGGATACTGCATCCCAAACTTTCACAATCTCTGAAAAGCAAGGGCAAGAGACGTCATACTGCAAGCCAGCTTTCTCGTCCAGCACAGTCCTCGTGGCCAATGGGGCCAGTGTCTATGTCCCCAGACCCTCCCTCTCTCTCCCCACAAGAAACTGCAGCTCAAGTGGGCTGCGCTGCTGCCTGTTCCTCAGGCACCTCCTGTTGGGCTCACCATCGTCCTGGAGGTGCATGAGTGTTGGACACATGAGGCGGCCGTTGCACAGGATGGGAGCACTCCTGGCCTCCATCTCGCTCCGGGCCTCCTCCACTCGTCAGCAGGAATTGTCCCACGCGGGGACGCTGCTTCCCAGTGCCTTTGGCTGCTTTCTGCAAGGCAGCTCCTCAAGATCACAGCGGCAGCACCAGCAGAGCAGCACCAGCCACTGCCTCCTGAAGGCCTCGCAGCCAAGTGAGGGCAGGTCGCGGCGCACAGGGCTTTTGAGCAGGACGTGGTGTGATGTCACAGACGGCCCCGCTGTTGCCTCATCGCGTGTCACAACAGGGGCTGCAGCCTGCCCTGTCAGGGAGCTGCCTCCCCAAGGAGACTGCTGCACCCTGGAGATTCGGGCAGAGCAGTCCGCAGGCTGTGAGGGTCACTGCAGGGTGCTGGCCCCAGGCCTTGCCCCAGGAGCAGGAAAGGAGGCTGCAACTTCTCTTAGCACTGTCCAGGACTTTTCCTTGGGCTGAACCTTCCCACGTCATCCAGCTATAGGTGCAGGGAGCACCGTCCCCTTCCACTTTCTGTGCGTGACCCTCAGCTCTGGTGATTTTTTAGCCAGCAGGGTGACCACTGGAGTTAGAGCCTCTTCGTTTTCATTCCTTCTCTGAAGCAGCCAGTGGGTGGATGGCCAAAGACTGCACTAGAGTGTTGGGGAATACTGTGACTCCAAATGTGTAATAACGCAAGTGCATTTTAAAAGAGGTCAGTCAGAAGTCTGATCACACTGCAAACATTTGGGCAGCATTTCTCTCTCCTCTTCTGCTTTTTCTTCCAAGTGGTTGCAGCTACCCACTATAAATAAAACAAATGAAATAAAGGAAAGTGGTGAGGAAAATGTAATGTTACATAGCCAGGTGTGCATTCTCGTGAAAAATGGGCTCCAGACAGTTCTTTCTATGTTAATGAGGCCAAGTGCCCACACCAGGCTCAGACTCTTTAGGTAGCTTGTTAACTGCCACACAGACCACAACGTGGAGTGATGGCACTTGGTGGAGCCTGCAGAACTGGCACACCCAGTATGGTCTTAGCAAAAGCTGTACATACCCGCCTGAGAACTTTTGCAGGACATGCTAGGGGAGTTTTAGGTTGGATCTTAGGAAGAACTCCTTTACCGAAAGGGTTGTTAGACATTGGAACAGGCTGCCCAGGGAAGTGGTGGAGTCCCCATCCCTGGAGGGATGAGGTCCCATCCCTGGGACCCTTCCAATTAGGTGGTAAATTCTTCATCCCTGGAGGGATGAGGTCCCATCCCTGGGACCCTTCCAATTAGGTGGTAAATTCTTCCTTGCCCTCCCATCGCCACATAGCCACCAATACCCTATACCTAATTTGCACCCACTTTCCGAAGATCCATCCACTCCAGACTCCTTATCAGGGTCGTATGCTACTTGGATAGTAATATTACAAGATGACCTTAAATTGGCTAGATTATATCCCCCTACATTTTCCGTTTTTGAACAGTCAGGTTCCCGACCAAAACTAAGCCCCAGATTACGCAAGATCTTTTGTTCGCTGCTATCATTGTCCCCCGTACACCGACTTTTAACATTTCCCCATGCTTGTAAAGCAAATTTCGGTCCCTCAGGGAGGGTATAGTCTACCCTTTCCATTCCCCAACATTTAGTGGACCACATCTGATTATTATATAATGCACTAGTCCAACTTCCGGAGGGTATCCCGTATAGTGGGATTTCCATATTGCCCCTCGGAAGTGCAGTGCATATCCAACAGTCTGATAAATTTAAAGACCGGGCCACTCTTTCGGTTACGTTTACATACGAGTTTTCCTTCCATGCTTGAGCTGATACAATAGTTACAAGCAATGTCCAAAGTCTACGCATGTTGCCTTTTCAATTTACACTTACTTGGTCCCGTCGTTTCAAGTGTCCATGGACCTTGTGTTGACTTGTTGATTCTCGTGTGGTGAATCCAAGCAGGTTGTTCTTTAATTTTTACTGCAGTGTATGACGTAAGCAGCACCTGAAAGGGTCCTTCCCATTGGGGTTCCCAAGAGTTTTTTCTGTAAGAGATTTTACATATATACAATCTCCAGGTTGTACATTGTGTATAGGTCTATCCAAACCCCTACTCCGGGTTCCAGCTACATGTTTTCCAATTTTATCTAACTGTTTCCCTAATGCCACCATGTAGGATGTCATAATTTCGTCTCCTGCTTGTGCGGACATCCCCTTCTGCCCCTTCTGCACTCCATAGGGTCGTCCATACAGGTTTTCAAAAGGGCTCAGTCCCTCCTTTGCTCTTGGCCTTGTTCGTATGCGTAAGAGAGCCAAAGGAAGAGAGTGAGGCCAGCCCAGATTAGCCTCCTGTCCCAATTTTACAATCTGTTGTTTGATCAAGTGGTTCATCTTTTCTACCTGGCCACTTGACTGAGGGCGATATGGGGTATGAAGTTGCCAATCTATACCTAGATGGCGGCTGATTTGTTGCACTATTCTTGAAATAAAATGTGGTCCCGTGTCAGAGGATATAGTAGCTGGTACTCCAAAACGTGGTATTATTTCCTGCATTAGTATTCTTACCACTTCCCTAGCCTTGGCTGTTCTGGTAGGAAACGCCTCTGGCCAACCTGAAAACGTGTCAGTTAATACCAACATGTATCGATACCCCCCTTTTCTTGGGAGTTCCGAAAAATCAATCTGCCATTGCTGTCCAGGCCCATTCCCTTTTCCAATTTGGCCTATCTCTAATTTTGGAGTACTTTGGGGATTAGTCTGGAGGCAAAGGTCACACTGCTGAGTCACTTGTCTCACAGTGGTGTATAGATTCCTTGCTACAATTTTTCTGATCAAATGCTTATATAAGGCTTCAGCCCCCCAGTGCCTTTCTATGTTCCTCTCTTACCAAGGGCCATATCATATAAGAGGGAATAATCATTTTCCCTTGGGGGGTAAGAGCCCACCCCTCCTCCTTATAGGAACCTTCTAGATCAGTAATTAATTTCTGATCTTCTTTGGTATATTTGGGCTTACCTTCTAGGGAGATTTGCCCATCAGGGATCAGGGCCCCTTCTGTTTTCACCTCCTTTTGGCTGCATGTTTTGCCTCTCTGTCCGCCAGCTCATTTCCTTTTTCCAATTCTGAGTTTGCTTTTTGGTGTGCTCTAATGTGCATGACTGCCACTTTCTCAGGGAGTTGAACTGCTTCCAACAACTTCAGGATTTCTTTTGCATGCTTGATATTTTTGCCGTGCGAATTCCATAATCCCCTCTCCTTCCAGATCACTCCGTGTGCATGTACAACCAAAAAGGCATATACAAGGGCTGACATCCCTTCCATCACCTACCTGTGCTCTTGCTCTCCCCATGCAGGTTGCTGCCGAGCAGGAGGCCAAGCGCAGTCTTCCTGCACCAAAGATACACCAGCAGACAAGCCAGCAACGTGCCAGAAACAAGAGCCGTCCCGGGACTTTTGGATGGGCCTGTTCAGAGCAGCGAGCAGGAGCAAGGGCTCGGTACGCGCAGGGGGGCTGGCTGGTCTGGGCCACCCCTCCCCTTGGGTGAAAGGCCTTGGTGGTGGTGTGGGGGGAAGGCAGGGGCTTGCCCATCACCTGCTCAGGCCCTAACCTACACCTCTCTGTCTCCCACAGGCATCCATGACCTCACACAAGGTCAAACTATCCAACAGAAGGTCCAAGTCCACAAAGGTAAAGAGAGTTTAACCTCCTCTTCCTCGTTGCCTTCATCCTGAAAGACCCCTGCCCACGACCACCGGGCTACATTGCTGATACATTGCTGCTACTCCCACTCTTCTGGGATGAAGCTGCAGCACAAAGCCCTGCGCAGAGCCCGCAGAGCTCTCCTGATGTGGGCGGGCTGTGGCTGGCGTGCCGGGGCTTGTGCGAGGTCATGGATGCCTGTGGGAGACAGAGAGGTGTAGGTTAGGGCCTGAGCGGGTGATGGGCAAGCCCCTGCCTTCCCCCCGCACCAGCACCCAAGGGGAGGGGTGGCCCAGGACCGAGCCAGCCCCCCTGCGCTTTTCCTGAGCCCTTGCTCCTGCTCGCTGCTCTGAACAGGCCCATCCAAAAGTTCCCTGGGACGGCTCTTGTTTCTGGCACGTTGCTGGCTTGTTGCTGGTGTATCTTTGGTGCAGGAAGACTGCCGCTGGCCTCTCTGCTCGGCAGCAACCTGCATGGGGAGAGCAAGAGCACAGGTAGGTGATGGAAGGGATGTCAGCCCCTTGTGCCTGGGGCAGTTTGGGAATGGAGAGCAGCAGGCAGCTCCCCAGCACGCACACCCCACGCACTGCTTCTGCCTCAGGCTGCCCTCGGTGCCTGGAGACCACCACACGCGCTGGGCTTACCTGGTGCCCAGGAACCATAGCCAAGGGAGAAGCCACTGCTCCGGTTTCGTCAACTGCTGGTACAGTCAACAGGCTCTGGGATGGGAGGAGGCACCCTGGCCCATGTGGCCAAGGGAGCAGTTGGATCCTTGCTCGTGGCTCCCTGCATGATGGCTACAGAATGGAGTAGCACTGCAGCAACAACAATCTCGGCTGTTTCATCCAGCTCTTCCTCAGAGACACTGGAGGGCATGTCGTGCACGTCACTGGCTCTCAACCAGCACCGCAGTGCTGTGCTCACTGGGGCTGGGACATGCTGATGGCTTTGACTCTTGACCTCCAGGTGTCTGGGGAGGCGCTCTGTACCCCTCATCTGCAGCCTCCCTGTCCACGCTGCTGGATGAGCTGCCTTCTTCCTGGGGAAAACCCTGTGGTTCCTGGAAGAGTCAAAGCATTGGTGGGCCCTGGCTTGAGAGGAGCTCAGGCCTTTCTCTGGACCTCCTGGAGGACCTGTGGAACCCCTCCACTGCCCTCCCAGCAGCAGCTGAGCATGCAGCCCAAGTCCCCGCGCGTGGGAGCCCAGACAATCATCTCTCTTCTTACCAGGAAAAGTTTCTTTCTTGTAAGGGAACCCATGAACATTGGCAAAGTGCTCCGAAACCTGGAAGACGGGCTTCTTTGCGTCAAGGAGCTTAATGCCTGCCATGGGCCGGTCCTGTTTAACAGCAAAGAATGTGCCCAGCCCAGGTACTGTGACACCCTGAAAAGCAAGAAATCAGGAACACGGGTCAGGATTTCTGGGGCTTCTCCAAGCAAGAAGATGGGCCCTCATGCCTTGGCCACTGCTCATGAGAAGGTGCCAGGCAGTGTCACTCTGCAGAGCCCTGGAGATGGCCTTGATGTCACGGATTTTCCCAGTTCCCTCCTTTTTTCCCTCTAAAGTGACGCTGGGCTAGTAAGAGCACAGCCAACACCCTCAGCTCAATAAAAATCCCCCAAAGAGTTCCCTCCAACCAGTTCCCAACAAGTAGGGAAAGCCTTGAGTGCCAGCACCAGCGACATGCTGGCCTGCCCACTCTGGCCACGGACAACACACAAGCACCAGGCAGAATGGACCCGTCCTTCTGCTGGAGCTGGGCTCTTCTTTTGTGCATACTGCCAGAGCAGCAAGGGGCAGATCCCAGGCTGCCAAGCCCAACGAGCCGCCGCCAAGCAGGCACCAGAGGCTGCAGGAAGGTTCCAGAAGCAGCGGCAGCAGCCCGCGCAGGGGCAGCCGCGAGTGCAGGAGCTGCTCATGGGCTGTGGGCTCAGCGGCAGACGCCTGCCCCTGCAGGGAACGAGGCCCACCCAGAGCCTGCCCAGCGGCATGGGCCTTGCCCAGACATCCTGGGGGGAAGCCCTGGCCGCAACAAGTGAGCGGGGGGCATGCAGAAGCCCCTCACAAATGCTGACGAAAAACAGGGCCCTCAAAGTGAGAGGCCATGTCACTTACCATGACAGCCCCGGAATGCGGAGAAAAGCGGCACCGCTCGCTCCAGATAGCACAAAGTTTCCTTCAGCACAAAGAAGAAGAAAGGCCTCTTGGCTCTAGATGCCGCCCGACACCACTGGCAGCCGTGCTGGGGACAGCCCAAGGCCTCAGCCAGCTTGTGGCGCGGGGGGCAGGCAGAACTGCCAAATGGCCGCCAGGGCTGTCAGAGGGCGGGGCTGGAGCCGCCCTGTCAGGGAGCAGCTTTTCTCTCTCTCTCCCTGCACTCAGGAAGCACTTTCCTGTAGATCCCCTTTCCTGTAGGGCCACAGCTGAGCCGAGCATGCCAGCACTGAGAAGGAAACTCTCTCCTTTCAGTCCCATACAATCCTCGAGAGTGCCCCAGGGGGTGTGCAAGGTGATCCATTTGGGTGTGGGAAGGAAATGCTAGAACTGCCATTTGTTTATTCATGAAATCTCGAAAGGGAATAAGGAAGAAGGAATGCTTCACGAGTGTTTAATATAGAGCTTGTGCCTGGCACCCTCCCTCAGTGTCTCCATGTGTCAGATGGCCACGTTGCACATGGTCTGTGAGGTGTCCTGAGGGACGAGCGTGTGCTCCACAACACGGAGGTTTTCTCCGTGGCACCCTCACTCGTTCACAAGCTTTCAGCATTATGTGACGTAGCAGATTACATGGGCCGGGTTCAGTAGACTTCAGGATGATGTGCTTAAAAGGGATTTGAGGAAATCAGTTCAAAGGATGCCTATAGATTGGGATCTCTAAGGCCAAAGGCAGCAATTCAGCAAGAGGTATTCCACCCAAGTGGAATTGACAGCAACTTGCATCGAGGCTGCCTGATGAGGGACCAAAGTCCCCGAAAGTTTTAGGAGGAGAGAATGAAAACTGTGAGAGCATGTGAGAGAAAGAGAGCTCTTCACTCTCTTGTATGAGTGATGTGACAAAAAAAAATCAACTTGTCCTTCAGTTTTGTGCTGTGCAGATTTAAAGTCCCTGCTGGCTTTCCTTCCTTCTTTTCTCCCAAGTTTCAAACTCTCTCTCTCTGCTTTTTGGCCATGTGCAGACCCGAGAGGTCATGGAAAAGCTGTTTTCCAAAAAGAGGCTCTTAACTTCAAAGCTCCCTTGGCAGCAGTACCAGCAGGGAAGGAAGACTTGTTGCTAATTCTGGGCTGAGTGAGGAGTGAGGGCAGGTGCTTGATGCCTTTTTTTTTTTATTTCCTGGGACCAAAGGGAAGGTTGCAGTGAGCCGTTACCTTGGAAGTTCCACCCTGGAAGGATCAAGAGCTCCCAGCTCTTCCCAGCTCTCCAGGCACAGGCAGGATCTGATGCTGGATCCTAAGAGCACCTGGCTTTCAGCAAGGGAGAATCAGCAGCCTCAGCTAGGAGGCCTTCGTGGCTGTCTTGGCAGGCCACGAATGGTGCTACTTGAACTGCTTAACAGTCCCACAAAAATTGTGAGGTGGATTATTGAGGGAACAGAGCATCTCTCCTATGAAGAGAGGCTGGGAGAGATGGGACTGTTTAGCCTGGAGAAGAGAAAGCTCAGGGGGGGATCAGTGGATAACTGCATGCCTGCGGGCAGGGTGCAAAGGCAATGGAGCCAGGCTCATTTCAGTGGAGCCCAATGACAGGACAGGAGGCGATGGGCGCAGAAGCAAACACAGTGGCTTCCATCTGAACCTCAGGATCCATTTCTGTAGTGTGTGGGTGAGCGAGTCCTCTCACGGGTTCTCCAGTGAGGCTGTAGAGTCTCCCTCCTCAAGGGGAGACACTTGAAAGCCATCTCCACAGGACATGCTCCTTGGACACTGGTGCTGGGTAGCAATGTTTGAGCAGGGGGTTGGCCAAGCTGACCTCTTCAGGTACCTTCCAACCTCAACCATTCTGTGTTTCTGTGAAATCAGAACACTACAAAGCCCGTCTGGTCCTTCCAGCAGGAAGCAAAAGACTTTATTGGGCTCGCAGCTGCTCCCAGCTGCGAGGGGTCCTCGCTGGTTTCCCTGATGCTCGTGTCATCTTTGGCATTGGAAGCACAGGGATTTTCTCACCAACGCTAGGGAGAGAAAAAGAAAGGGTTCAAGTTTCTGTTCCAGTGAGGGCAGCGGAGTGACACTCCCTGCTCCCTTCAGCCCCAGTCCTGTGCAGCGTGCATATGCAGGAGTCCCAAGGCTCTGTGTGGCCTTGTGGGGGCCCCTCGAGTCCCAGCCAGTGACAGGGAATCTACGCAGCGCCAGGCCGAGGCGCTGTGTGAGACCGGGCTGGAGACCTTTGGCCAAGCAGCTACGGAAGGCCAGGGCAAGGGTTCTCGTGAGCCTGGGGGCCTCATTGCCCAAGGAAGGGGCTGTTGCTAGTGGAATGAAGGCTGTTGCAGGAGAGGTTTACCAAATCAGAAGATCCTCTGCAGAATTTCCAGGGATGTCGACAGCTCTGCTCTTGGTCTTGTCTTTCTGCAGGACCTCCCCTCTCCTCTCCAGCTGTTTCCTCACGCGCTCAGTCCGCACTGAAAGGCAGCTGCAGCAACAGAGAAAAAAACTCTCAGGTGGGCTCTGAAGGTCCTCACCTCTGTCTGCCCAAAAGCAGGGAGCACAGCCTCCTTCCATTGTGGGTGCGTCACTGTCAGCTGCAGGGGAGCTTTAGGACTTTGGGTCTGCAGGGGGACAGCTGGAGGCAGGGCCTCTCCACGGTCATTCTCTCCGCGAGGCAGCCAGGGGATGGAGAGCCAAAGCCCAGAGCTGAGCAACCCGCATGCTGGATCCCTCGGGCAGCCTGCTGCAGCTCAGCTTTTCCTGGCCTTTTTTGGAAGCTGGCCCACACTTACCTGGCACTCGGTTTGCTCAGAGGAGCTGCCTCAGCCTTCTTCTCCGGCGGGTGAGGGATTAGGACATGCTGCTGTTTCATGTCCACTGGCACCATCTGCAGAGACTTTTTCCATTCCACAAGTGCCATGGAGGATGTGCTCTCTGTCTGCAGCCCCTGCATTTCCTTCTGCGTCTTCTGCTACAGGGGAAGCAGAAACAAGGAACGTTTTTAGATGGGGGTGCTAACGTGGGAGCTGTCCCATGGCAGTGGGGCAGTCGTCCCCTCAGGGTTTCCGCAGGCTCAGGGCAGTTTCCCTGCAGCCTGCTTTCTCTCAGAAAGGCAGCATGAAAGGGTAACACCCTCAGCCTCTGAAACTAAGGGCAAGAACACTTTCACTGCAGTGGGCTTTGCAGGAGCCCTTGTCCTTCTCAGAGGAAAACAAGGCTCAGAAAGTGCACGTTTTTCTCTTGGAGAGAAGCTTCCTTGCAGAGCTAAGAGGGGAAGAGTGTGCACATGGCCCCCTGAGAGAAGAGAAAGGTTCCTTCTCGAGTGCTTGAAAGCACTTGTCATACCATGGGCCCGTGTCTCAAGCAGCATTTTTCCTACAGGGCACAAGGGCATGCAGTTATTAAAGAAATGTCAAATCTCCATGATGGCAACCCGTGAAACAACCCGGCAATGGGCACACAGATGCAGTGGCTACCTGTCCTCCTCTCCGTTGACCCTCACAGGCAGGGGCTTGAGTTTGGGGCCAGGCCACAGCACAGAGCTTGCCCTTCCCCTCTTCTGCCATTCTTGAGGAGCTTTCCTCACGGGTTGTCAGCAGCCTGCAAGCACAGAAGAGGAGGATTTCCTGCTCTAGTTTTTGCTCACCAATCAGGTCCCCAGCAGGGAAAGGGAAGTTGGTGGGGCATGTGTCGGGACCCCTGTGGAATTCACCAAGTCCCCATGTCTAAGGAAAGCCGCTTGATGACTCAAGAAAAGCCGAGGGGCTGCTTCTTTTAGGCTCCCCCCAGCCTCACCTGCGAGAAGGCTCTTTTTCCACTGCAGCCTGGCTCAGCTTTGCCTCCCCTTTCATCTTGGAGAGTCTGGATAGAGAGAGACTCTGGGGTGTGAGCAGCTGGCTCTTAATAGGAGGCATCCCTGTAAGGAGGAAACGAGAAGGCTCGTCAGTGCTGCTCCTTGGTGGCCACACAAAGAGGCAGGGAATGAGCCTCCCTGCTGGATCCGGTGCTACTTGTAAAAGGCAGAGCAAGCTGGGAGATGGGTTGGCCTAGAAGGGAGTCTCCTTGGCCACTGGCATTTCACGGGTGGGGATGGGAGTCATCTGCACAGGACATGCTCCTTGGACACTGGTGCTGGGTTGCCCAGTTTGAGCAGGGGTTTGGCCAAGCTGACGTCTTCAGGTAGCTCCCATCCTAAAACCATTCTGTGTTCTGTGAAATTGGCACACTACGAAGCCCGTGCTGGTCCCTCCAGCAGGAAGTAACAGTCTTTATTGGGCTTGCAACTGCTCAGGTGGGGATGGGAGTCCTGGGACTCCCTGCTGCCACTGTACCCCACATTCTACCTTTGGACACATCTAATCCTGTTGAATGCTATGGGAAGCGCGGGGCTGCCCTGCCATTCTGGTTCCTACGAAGGCCCAGCAGAGCTACTGCCACAGGGAACTGGGGTCAGAGGAGGGGCCTCATCCTGTGCAAAGCGCAGCCTTCCAGCCTCGCCTCTGTACCCCTTGCCCTCAGGAGGACATTCAGAAGGGAAGGGCAGAGAGGTCTCCCAGGGGCTGTCACTCCCAAGAGCCCGCTCTCACATTACCTCTTCTGGTAGACTCTCCCTCCACACTTGCGTCTCCCTTCTTCTCCAAAGCAGAACCCTTGGGTGCTTGGAGAGACCCTTCCCCTGCAGCTCTTCCCCGAGGTATGTAGAGCCCAATCCTGGAAGAAAGACCAAGGCAGTGTGACTACAGGGCACCACATTCTAGGGCTGTAGGGTGCTGGTCTTGGTGCCAGCATCTGAGAGGGGCTTGCTGTGGGCTGGGCAGGGAATAGACATCCTCCCAGCCCTTGGTACACAAAGAAAACGCCCCCAAAACAAGCAAGAATCGGTGTGGAGTGGAGGAGGAACCAGTGCTTGGAAAAGTCCCCCTCCAGCTCCTCCCTGAGCACTGGGCAAGCCCTGGCACTGCTGACCTTCCGGAGAGGAGCTGAAAAGCTGCCAAAACTCTCAGCCAAGGGCTGCAGAAGCAATGCACCCACCTGGGAAAGATGATGACACCTCGAGAAGCTGGATGTGAGACCATGCTTTTTCTCTCCGATGTGGCCAACTCCGTTGTGCTTAAACTCTGCAGGAGAGACAGTCGTGGGTGAGACCATGGACAGGAAGGGATGCCCGTGCCAATGAAGGCATCGCGGCTGCTCAGGCAGAAAGCTGCCCACGGGCAGAGCTTGCAGGGCTTAGTGTTCACCCCTCCTTACAAGCAGCACAAGCTGCCCAGCAAGTGCCTGCACCCGGCAAATCACTGCCTGGCTTTGTGCAGGGGCCAGACTCCTGTGCCTCATCAGGAGACGCGTCTGACCCAGAAGGAGAAGTCCCTCCCAACGGCCTCTCGGGGCATTTCCCAGGAGCCCTGGGCTGTGCTGGTGCAGTGAGAAACTTACAGTGAGGCGGCATTTCAACAGCTGGCCGTTGCTATTCAGGTTGTGAACAAAGTCGGAGGAAAAGTGCATTTGGACTCTGTTCTGGCGGAAGACCAGACGGCCGATGTCCTTGAAGATGAAATCCACAGCCTGCTTCTTTGCAAGGGTGTAGGAGAGAAAGAGCAGGGTCTCCTGAATGCAGCGCTGCACGGTGTCCCGAGGAATGCCGATGTCCAAGGACAACCAGGCATAATTCAGGAAAACAAATGGAGGTATTCCTGAGGGAGAGGAAGCAAGGAGAAAATAACTAAGACAGGCCTGCAGAGGAGGGCAGTCCCAGTTGGGTAGCTTCTGGGCCCTCCAGCACTGCTACAGAGCTGTCTTGCTGACTGCTCGTCTGCAGGAAGAGAATCCCTGAAAGACAGAGCTCCAAGAGCCTGGGGCAGCACAGTCGTGGGGCATCGCTGATGCCATAGAAGCTGATGCCCAGTGTCAGCCTGCACCTGCTGTTGTCCGAACTGCTTAGAGCAGAAGTCAACCACCAACGCAGCCATCAGGGTGCCAACAGGATGGGGAGGGACGTTTCTGGGAGCTGGTGTCTGGAGGGACGTGCAAGGCATTGATGGGCCTTGGCTTGAGAGGAGCTCAGGCCTTTCTCTGGACCTCCTGGAGGAGCTGTGGAACCCCTCCACTGCCCTCCCAGCAGCAGCTGAGCATGCAGCCCAAAGTCCCCGCGCGTGGGAGCCCAGACAATCATCTCTCTTCTTACCAGGAAAAGTTTCTTTCTTGTAAGGGAGCCCATGAACATTGGCAAAGTGCTCCGAAACCTGGAAGACGGGCTTCTTTGCGTCAAGGAGCTTAACGCCTGCCATGGGCCGGTCCTGTTTAACAGCAAAGAAGGTGCCCAGCCCAGGTACTGTGACACCCTGAAAAGCAAGAAATCAGGAACACGGGTCAGGATTTCTGGGGCTTCTCCAAGCAAGAAGATGGGCCCTCATGCCTTGGCCACTGCTCATGAGAAGTTGCCAGGCAGTGTCACTCTGCAGAGCCCTGGAGATGGCCTCAATGTCATGGATTTTCCCAACAAGCAGGGAAAGCCTTGAGTGCCAGCACCAGCGACATGCTGGCCTGCCCACTCTGGCCACGGGCAACACACAAGCACCAGGCAGAATGGACCCCGTCCTTCTGCTGGAGCTGGGCTCTTCTTTTGTGCATATTGCCAGAGCAGCAAGGGGCCCCTGACACCTCTGCAGTTTGCAGGCCACCGCTGGGGTGTTTCTGATGCTTGAGGAGGCGGGCTGTGGGAAAGAGCAGAGTAAGAGGGCAGGATGAGGCTGCCAAGCTCACCTTGTTCAGCGCAAACTGCCTGCGGATGAAGTGGGATACTGCATCCCAAACTTTCACAATCTCTGAAAAGCAAGGGCAAGAGACGTCATACTGCAAGCCAGCTTTCTCGTCCAGCACAGTCCTCGTGGCCAATGGGGCCAGTGTCTATGTCCCCAGACCCTCCCTCTCTCTCCCCACAAGAAACTGCAGCTCAAGTGGGCTGCGCTGCTGCCTGTTCCTCAGGCACCTCCTGTTGGGCTCACCATCGTCCTGGAGGTGCATGAGTGTTGGACACATGAGGCGGCCGTTGCACAGGATGGGAGCACTCCTGGCCTCCATCTCGCTCCGGGCCTCCTCCACTCGTCAGCAGGAATTGTCCCACGCGGGGACGCTGCTTCCCAGTGCCTTTGGCTCCTTTCTGCAAGGCAGCTCCTCAAGATCACAGCGGCAGCCCCAGCAGAGCAGCACCAGCCACTGCCTCCTGAAGGCCTCGCAGCCAAGTGAGGGCAGGTCGCGGCGCACAGGGCTTTTGAGCAGGACGTGGTGTGATGTCACAGACGGCCCCGCTGTTGCCTCATCGCGTGTCACAACAGGGGCTGCAGCCTGCCCTGTCAGGGAGCTGCCTCCCCAAGGAGACTGCTGCACCCTGGAGATTCGGGCAGAGCAGTCCGCAGGCTGTGAGGGTCACTGCAGGGTGCTGGCCCCAGGCCTTGCCCCAGGAGCAGGAAAGGAGGCTGCAACTTCTCTTAGCACTGTCCAGGACTTTTCCTTGGGCTGAACCTTCCCACGTCATCCAGCTATAGGTGCAGGGAGCACCGTCCCCTTCCACTTTCTGTGCGTGACCCTCAGCTCTGGTGATTTTTTAGCCAGCAGGGTGACCACTGGAGTTAGAGCCTCTTCGTTTTCATTCCTTCTCTGAAGCAGCCAGTGGGTGGATGGCCAAAGACTGCACTAGAGTGTTGGGGAATACTGTGACTCCAAATGTGTAATAACGCAAGTGCATTTTAAAAGAGGTCAGTCAGAAGCTTTATTAACACTGATCACACTGCAAACATTTGGGCAGCATTTCTCTCTCCTCTTCTGCTTTTTCTTCCAAGTGGTTGCAGCTACCCACTATAAATAAAACAAATGAAATAAAGGAAAGTGGTGAGGAAAATGTAATGTTACATAGCCAGGTGTGCATTCTCGTGAAAAATGGGCTCCAGACAGTTCTTTCTATGTTAATGAGGCCAAGTGCCCACACCAGGCTCAGACTCTTTAGGTAGCTTGTTAACTGCCACAGACCACAACGTGGAGTGATGGCACTTGGTGGAGCCTGCAGAACTGGCACACCCAGTATGGTCTTAGCAAAAGCTGTACATACCCGCCTGAGAACTTTTGCAGGACATGCTAGGGGAGTTTTAGGTTGGATCTTAGGAAGAACTCCTTTACCGAAAGGGTTGTTAGACATTGGAACAGGCTGCCCAGGGAAGTGGTGGAGTCCCCATCCCTGGAGGGATGAGGTCCCATCCCTGGGACCCTTCCAATTAGGTGGTAAATTCTTCCTTGCCCTCCCATCGCCACATAGCCACCAATACCCTATACCTAATTTGCACCCACTTTCCGAAGATCCATCCACTCCAGACTCCTTATCAGGGTCGTATGCTACTTGGATAGTAATATTACAAGATGACCTTAAATTGGCTAGATTATATCCCCCTACATTTTCCGTTTTTGAACAGTCAGGTTCCCGACCAAAACTAAGCCCCAGATTACGCAAGATCTTTTGTTCGCTGCTATCATTGTCCCCCGTACACCGACTTTTAACATTTCCCCATGCTTGTAAAGCAAATTTCGGTCCCTCAGGGAGGGTATAGTCTACCCTTTCCATTCCCCAACATTTAGTGGACCACATCTGATTATTATATAATGCACTAGTCCAACTTCCGGAGGGTATCCCGTATAGTGGGATTTCCATATTGCCCCTCGGAAGTGCAGTGCATATCCAACAGTCTGATAAATTTAAAGACCGGGCCACTCTTTCGGTTACGTTTACATACGAGTTTTCCTTCCATGCTTGAGCTGATACAATAGTTACAAGCAATGTCCAAAGTCTACGCATGTTGCCTTTTCAATTTACACTTACTTGGTCCCGTCGTTTCAAGTGTCCATGGACCTTGTGTTGACTTGTTGATTCTCGTGTGGTGAATCCAAGCAGGTTGTTCTTTAATTTTTACTGCAGTGTATGACGTAAGCAGCACCTGAAAGGGTCCTTCCCATTGGGGTTCCCAAGAGTTTTTTCTGTAAGAGATTTTACATATATACAATCTCCAGGTTGTACATTGTGTATAGGTCTATCCAAACCCCTACTCCGGGTTCCAGCTACATGTTTTCCAATTTTATCTAACTGTTTCCCTAATGCCACCATGTAGGATGTCATAATTTCGTCTCCTGCTTGTGCGGACATCCCCTTCTGCCCCTTCTGCACTCCATAGGGTCGTCCATACAGGTTTTCAAAAGGGCTCAGTCCCTCCTTTGCTCTTGGCCTTGTTCGTATGCGTAAGAGAGCCAAAGGAAGAGAGTGAGGCCAGCCCAGATTAGCCTCCTGTCCCAATTTTACAATCTGTTGTTTGATCAAGTGGTTCATCTTTTCTACCTGGCCACTTGACTGAGGGCGATATGGGGTATGAAGTTGCCAATCTATACCTAGATGGCGGCTGATTTGTTGCACTATTCTTGAAATAAAATGTGGTCCCGTGTCAGAGGATATAGTAGCTGGTACTCCAAAACGTGGTATTATTTCCTGCATTAGTATTCTTACCACTTCCCTAGCCTTGGCTGTTCTGGTAGGAAACGCCTCTGGCCAACCTGAAAACGTGCCAGTTAATACCAACATGTATCGATACCCCCCTTTTCTTGGGAGTTCCGAAAAATCAATCTGCCATTGCTGTCCAGGCCCATTCCCTTTTCCAATTTGGCCTATCTCTAATTTTGGAGTACTTTGGGGATTAGTCTGGAGGCAAAGGTCACACTGCTGAGTCACTTGTCTCACAGTGGTGTATAGATTCCTTGCTACAATTTTTCTGATCAAATGCTTATATAAGGCTTCAGCCCCCCAGTGCCTTTCTATGTTCCTCTCTTACCAAGGGCCATATCATATAAGAGGGAATAATCATTTTCCCTTGGGGGGTAAGAGCCCACCCCTCCTCCTTATAGGAACCTTCTAGATCAGTAATTAATTTCTGATCTTCTTTGGTATATTTGGGCTTACCTTCTAGGGAGATTTGCCCATCAGGGATCAGGGCCCCTTCTGTTTTCACCTCTCTTTTGGCTGCATGTTTTGCCTCTCTGTCCGCCAGCTCATTTCCTTTTTCCAATTCTGAGTTTGCTTTTTGGTGTGCTCTAATGTGCATGACTGCCACTTTCTCAGGGAGTTGAACTGCTTCCAACAACTTCAGGATTTCTTTTGCATGCTTGATATTTTTGCCGTGCGAATTCCATAATCCCCTCTCCTTCCAGATCACTCCGTGTGCATGTACAACCAAAAGGCATATACAAGGGCTGACATCCCTTCCATCACCTACCTGTGCTCTTGCTCTCCCCATGCAGGTTGCTGCCGAGCAGAGAGGCCAAGCGCAGTCTTCCTGCACCAAAGATACACCAGCAGACAAGCCAGCAACGTGCTAGAAACAAGAGCCGTCCCGGGGACTTTTGGATGGGCCTGTTCAGAGCAGCGAGCAGGAGCAAGGGCTCGGTACGCGCAGGGGGGCTGGCTGGTTCTGGGCCACCCCTCCCCTTGGGTGAAAGGCCTTGGTGGTGGTGTGGGGGGAAGGCAGGGGCTTGCCCATCACCTGCTCAGGCCCTAACCTACACCTCTCTGTCTCCCACAGGCATCCATGACCTCACACAAGGTCAAACTATCCAACAGAAGGTCCAAGTCCACAAAGGTAAAGAGAGTTTAACCTCCTCTTCCTCGTTGCCTTCATCCTGAAAGACCCCTGCCCACGACCACCGGGCTACATTGCCGATACATTGCTGCTACTCCCACTCTTCTGGGATGAAGCTGCAGCACAAAGCCCTGCGCAGAGCCCGCAGAGCTCTCCTGATGTGGGCGGGCTGTGGCTGGCGTGCCGGGGCTTGTGCGAGGTCATGGATGCCTGTGGGAGACAGAGAGGTGTAGGTTAGGGCCTGAGCGGGTGATGGGCAAGCCCCTGCCTTCCCCCCGCACCAGCACCCAAGGGGAGGGGTGGCCCAGGACCAGCCAGCCCCCCTGCGTTTTCCTAGCCCTTGCTCCTGCTCGCTGCTCTGAACAGGCCCATCCAAAAGTCCCTGGGGCGGCTCTTGTTTCTGGCACGTTGCTGGCTTGTCTGCTGGTGTATCTTTGGTGCAGGAAGACTGCGCTTGGCCTCTCTGCTCGGCAGCAACCTGCATGGGGAGAGCAAGAGCACAGGTAGGTGATGGAAGGGATGTCAGCCCTTGTGCCTGGGGCATTTGGGAATGGAGAGCAGCAGGCAGCTCCCCAGCACGCACACCCCACGCACTGCTTCTGCCTCAGGCTGCCCTCGGTGCCTGGAGACCACCACACGCGCTGGGCTTACCTGGTGCCCAGGAACCATAGCCAAGGGAGAAGCCACTGCTCCGGTTTCGTCAACTGCTGTACAGTCAACAGGCTCTGGGATGGGAGGAGGCACCCTGGCCCATGTGGCCAAGGGAGCAGTTGGATCCTTGCTCGTGGCTCCCTGCATGATGGCTACAGAATGGAGTAGCACTGCAGCAACAACAATCTCGGCTGTTTCATCCAGCTCTTCCTCAGAGACACTGGAGGCATGTCGTGCACGTCACTGGCTCTCAACCAGCACCGCAGTGCTGTGCTCACTGGGGCTGGGACATGCTGATGGCTTTGACTCTTGACCTCCAGGTGTCTGGGGAGGCGCTCTGTACCCCTCATCTGCAGCCTCCCTGTCCACGCTGCTGGATGAGCTGCCTTCTTCCTGGGGAAAACCCTGTGGTTCCTGGAAGAGTCAAAGCATTGGTGGGCCCTGGCTTGAGAGGAGCTCAGGCCTTTCTCTGGACCTCCTGGAGGACCTGTGGAACCCCTCCACTGCCCTCCCAGCAGCAGCTGAGCATGCAGCCCAAAGTCCCCGCGCGTGGGAGCCCAGACAATCATCTCTCTTCTTACCAGGAAAAGTTTCTTTCTTGTAAGGGAACCCATGAACATTGGCAAAGTGCTCCGAAACCTGGAAGACGGGCTTCTTTGCGTCAAGGAGCTTAAAGCCTGCCATGGGCCGGTCCTGTTTAACAGCAAAGAATGTGCCCAGCCCAGGTACTGTGACACCCTGAAAAGCAAGAAATCAGGAACACGGGTCAGGATTTCTGGGGCTTCTCCAAGCAAGAAGATGGGCCCTCATGCCTTGGCCACTGCTCATGAGAAGGTGCCAGGCAGTGTCACTCTGCAGAGCCCTGGAGATGGCCTTGATGTCACGGATTTTCCCAGTTCCCTCCTTTTTTCCCTCTAAAGTGACGCTGGGCTAGTAAGAGCACAGCCAACACCCTCAGCTCAATAAAAATCCCCCAAAGAGTTCCCTCCAACCAGTTCCCAACAAGTAGGGAAAGCCTTGAGTGCCAGCACCAGCGACATGCTGGCCTGCCCACTCTGGCCACGGACAACACACAAGCACCAGGCAGAATGGACCCGTCCTTCTGCTGGAGCTGGGCTCTTCTTTTGTGCATACTGCCAGAGCAGCAAGGGGCAGATCCCAGGCTGCCAAGCCCAACGAGCCGCCGCCAAGCAGGCACCAGAGGCTGCAGGAAGGTTCCAGAAGCAGCGGCAGCAGCCCGCGCAGGGGCAGCCGCGAGTGCAGGAGCTGCTCATGGGCTGTGGGCTCAGCGGCAGACGCCTGCCCCTGCAGGGAACGAGGCCCACCCAGAGCCTGCCCAGCGGCATGGGCCTTGCCCAGACATCCTGGGGGGAAGCCCTGGCCGCAACAAGTGAGCGGGGGGGATGCAGAAGCCCCTCACAAATGCTGACGAAAAACAGGGCCCTCAAAGTGAGAGGCCATGTCACTTACCATGACAGCCCCGGAATGCGGAGAAAAGCGGCACCGCTCGCTCCAGATAGCACAAAGTTTCCTTCAGCACAAAGAAGAAGAAAGGCCTCTTGGCTCTAGATGCCGCCCGACACCACTGGCAGCCGTGCTGGGGACAGCCCAAGGCCTCAGCCAGCTTGTGGCGCGGGGGGCAGGCAGAACTGCCAAATGGCCGCCAGGGCTGTCAGAGGGCGGGGCTGGAGCCGCCCTGTCAGGGAGCAGCTTTTCTCTCTCTCTCCCTGCACTCAGGAAGCACTTTCCTGTAGATCCCCTTTCCTGTAGGGCCACAGCTGAGCCGAGCATGCCAGCACTGAGAAGGAAACTCTCTCCTTTCAGTCCCATACAATCCTCGAGAGTGCCCCAGGGGGTGTGCAAGGTGATCCATTTGGGTGTGGGAAGGAAATGCTAGAACTGCCATTTGTTTATTCATGAAATCTCGAAAGGGAATAAGGAAGAAGGAATGCTTCACGAGTGTTTAATATAGAGCTTGTGCCTGGCACCCTCCCTCAGTGTCTCCATGTGTCAGATGGCCACGTTGCACATGGTCTGTGAGGTGTCCTGAGGGACGAGCGTGTGCTCCACAACATGGAGGTTTTCTCCGTGGCACCCTCACTCGTTCACAAGCTTTCAGCATTATGTGACGTAGCAGATTACATGGGCCGGGTTCAGTAGACTTCAGGATGATGTGCTTAAAAGGGATTTGAGGAAATCAGTTCAAAGGATGCCTATAGATTGGGATCTCTAAGGCCAAAGGCAGCAATTCAGCAAGAGGTATTCCACCCAAGTGGAATTGACAGCAACTTGCATCGAGGCTGCCTGATGAGGGACCAAAGTCCCCGAAAGTTTTAGGAGGAGAGAATGAAAACTGTGAGAGCATGTGAGAGAAAGAGAGCTCTTCACTCTCTTGTATGAGTGATGTGACAAAAAAAAATCAACTTGTCCTTCAGTTTTGTGCTGTGCAGATTTAAAGTCCCTGCTGGCTTTCCTTCCTTCTTTTCTCCCAAGTTTCAAACTCTCTCTCTCTCTGCTTTTTGGCCATGTGCAGACCCGAGAGGTCATGGAAAAGCTGTTTTCCAAAAAGAGGCTCTTAACTTCAAAGCTCCCTTGGCAGCAGTACCAGCAGGGAAGGAAGACTTGTTGCTAATTCTGGGCTGAGTGAGGAGTGAGGGCAGGTGCTTGATGCCTTTTTTTTTTATTTCCTGGGACCAAAGGGAAGGTTGCAGTGAGCCGTTACCTTGGAAGTTCCACCCTGGAAGGATCAAGAGCTCCCAGCTCTTCCCAGCTCTCCAGGCACAGGCAGGATCTGATGCTGGATCCTAAGAGCACCTGGCTTTCAGCAAGGGAGAATCAGCAGCCTCAGCTAGGAGGCCTTCGTGGCTGTCTTGGCAGGCCACGAATGGTGCTACTTGAACTGCTTAACAGTCCCACAAAAATTGTGAGGTGGATTATTGAGGGAACAGAGCATCTCTCCTATGAAGAGAGGCTGGGAGAGATGGGACTGTTTAGCCTGGAGAAGAGAAAGCTCAGGGGGGGATCAGTGGATAACTGCATGCCTGCGGGCAGGGTGCAAAGGCAATGGAGCCAGGCTCATTTCAGTGGAGCCCAATGACAGGACAGGAGGCGATGGGCGCAGAAGCAAACACAGTGGCTTCCATCTGAACCTCAGGATCCATTTCTGTAGTGTGTGGGTGAGCGAGTCCTCTCACGGGTTCTCCAGTGAGGCTGTAGAGTCTCCCTCCTCAAGGGGAGACACTTGAAAGCCATCTCCACAGGACATGCTCCTTGGACACTGGTGCTGGGTAGCAATGTTTGAGCAGGGGGTTGGCCAAGCTGACCTCTTCAGGTACCTTCCAACCTCAACCATTCTGTGTTTCTGTGAAATCAGAACACTACAAAGCCCGTCTGGTCCTTCCAGCAGGAAGCAAAAGACTTTATTGGGCTCGCAGCTGCTCCCAGCTGCGAGGGGTCCTCGCTGGTTTCCCTGATGCTCGTGTCATCTTTGGCATTGGAAGCACAGGGATTTTCTCACCAACGCTAGGGAGAGAAAAAGAAAGGGTTCAAGTTTCTGTTCCAGTGAGGGCAGCGGAGTGACACTCCCTGCTCCCTTCAGCCCCAGTCCTGTGCAGCGTGCATATGCAGGAGTCCCAAGGCTCTGTGTGGCCTTGTGGGGGCCCCTCGAGTCCCAGCCAGTGACAGGGAATCTACGCAGCGCCAGGCCGAGGCGCTGTGTGAGACCGGGCTGGAGACCTTTGGCCAAGCAGCTACGGAAGGCCAGGGCAAGGGTTCTCGTGAGCCTGGGGGCCTCATTGCCCAAGGAAGGGGCTGTTGCTAGTGGAATGAAGGCTGTTGCAGGAGAGGTTTACCAAATCAGAAGATCCTCTGCAGAATTTCCAGGGATGTCGACAGCTCTGCTCTTGGTCTTGTCTTTCTGCAGGACCTCCCCTCTCCTCTCCAGCTGTTTCCTCACGCGCTCAGT